TTTGCCTTTCTTACAGGCGAATATCTTCATAATAGTTAATATATACCTATTAATTTTTACTTGATAAGGCTTTCCATGCAATTTTAAGTATTAGATCTGTTTTAAAAAGTAAGGCATTGAAATTTTAACGTGAAAAAAAAAACATCAAATAAATATCTACATATGATTTAAATATTTTAATACCTGTTATTATTATCTACTATTACCTTAAGACATCAATTAGATTTAGACTAGTTTTTGTATAGAAAAATTTTTGGTGGAGATTACAGAATCAATTCTCTTTCTAATTAGATCAATAACAAGCAACTTATTTTGAATTCCTAATTATTAGAGGAAATATAATTTATTTTCTTAAAAATAAGTTTTTATGCTTTAACTATTTAATCACTACAACTCTACAATTTCTCCTAATTTAATTTGAACTTTGAATTTTTAAAGCTGGCAAATCAAATATATTTAGTAGTTCTTAGATTAATAACACTTTTATGTTAATCAGCTTAACAATAACCCATAACCTTCAGACCAACTAACACTTTATATTTCTAAGAAAAATACAAGACATAATCAATTAATAGATTCAATTCAGTCCTCTAGGTTTTTTATGAGGCAAATTTGAACTTTAATTTTTATTTGCCAGTGGCTCTGGAACACATTCTTTAAGATGGCTACTGGCAGGACACTATCTTAACTGTCTGCTGGGGGAAGGATCTTTACCCTTTCTTCCCTCAACAAAGGATGTAGCCAGTTATCTGGACTACTTAGATCTTTAAAGTATTTACTTTGGATAAATTCTATGACAGAGACAAATTTACTTATTTTCTTGAAGGCCTTAAAAGTTAACTTTTTTTTAAAAAACGTTCACTAGCATTTTGAAAACTATTCCTTATTATGGAAATGCACATCTTGTTGCTGGAATTAGCTTGAATTTCTTTCAAGATTTTTTCGCTGTTTTTCTCAGGAAAAAGAATCAGTTCTGGGTTTTTCATTTCTGTAGCTCTTGTAAAGAGTTAAGGCCAGTTCAAGACTTATCTAATATCCGAAATCGGACGTGCGCGCATTTAGTCTTATACTAGCTTACTCCTTACACGTGCACAGATATCCCAGACTCATTTCTAAATTTTTAAAACTTTTTTATGGCGAGAAAGGAAATTTTTAATTTAATATACTAGGAGAGCGGGCTTCTATATTGGATCGCCTCATGTCTCTCCCTTCCCCCATATTCTGCTTACTTCAGGGGAAGCATCAGCAACAGATCTGGCTGAATTTCTTTTCATGCTTAAAAGATAGACAGATCTCAATTTTTTTTCTTCCTTTTTGGCTTTCTGAAATAATAATTAATACCCAATTTGGTCAAGATTTGCATTTCCCTGTGAGTTTTCTTATAATTTTTAAACAAGGCATTAAGTCAGAGGTAGTTTCAGCAGTGGAGTTCCACTTATTATAGATTTTAAATTCCATACGTATACTAAGATTCTAATTTCAACAAAAAACAACATTATTTTGTGATCACATAGACTTCAACATTCACTCTAAAGAGCACTTTCATTTCTAAGATTCTTTTTTTCTCTAGCCTTAATTCCTCGTGTCTGAGGGGACTCTCTGAGCCCTTTTTCTAAGATTCTTTTTTCTTAACCCTTACTCCTCGCGTTCTGAGGGAAATCTTGACACTGTCAAGGAACATTTCATGACAACTTAAAGCATTCCCCATTATTGGTCGATTGGATGGCTCTCAAAGAGGTTCCTTCTCCACGTAAGCCTCCGGGACGTATAAACCCCGTGCCAGGTCAGCTTGAATTTTCTCGTCAACCCAGGAATTCAGGCGGAATTACTCTCTTTTCGACTCTACCCTTTACTCCCTTGCTTGCGTGAAACGGTCGGTAGGTATAATCCGCCTACACGGATCCTCACAGACAGGGAGACCCCGTTTGCCCTCCTCAGGCGCGCAGGTCTCCCGTGGTTGAGTCTGAAAGGTGAACGACCTGTTGTTCAAAGCAAGCTCAAGGTTTTAAGAGTAGATCTAATTGGAGAGGATTCTCGCCAAGAAAACCGGGAGGCGGTACTAGTTCAAGTGAATCGGAGTTCTCACAGCCAAAGACGGGTACCTTTCACTCTTCCCCGGATCGGCAAGTGAGTGCTTATTAGTGGGCAGGAAGAAACCAACCGAGAGAACCAATAATAACAATCGAGCAAAAAAGGGGTGAAATGTTCTGAAATCTTGTTTGAAAAGTTCATCTACCTACCTTTACTCCGATCTGTCTCACGGCGGGTGGACCGTGGCGATCCAGTGCTGAGTCTTCACTCGCGGGTCCTCGCGGCGACTCTGGGGGGTGCCTGGCCAGGGCTTCTCCGGTAGACGTTCTCGCTAGAGATTCTCAGAAGTACCCCGAGTTGGGCGCCATTTTGTCCCGACCTGCGGGACAACAACGGGGGGCACGCAGGAACCACCTAAGAGAATGAATCAAACAAGGAACGCGAAAGAATGGAGGCAAGACAAGGTTCTGATCAAGCCTCAGTTTTATTCTCTGAAATGGCTGTATTTATACAGCAGAGACAAAGGGGGGCAGGGCCGCCCATGCAGGGGGGGTCTTTGGTATGGCAACACAGGATTGACTAATTGCCAGAGGCAGTGTGACATTCCAAGGTGCAATATTCCAAGGCTGGGCTATCTAGGGGGGAGGATCAGGAAGGGGAAGAGGCAGGAAGACAGGAGATGCTAAACCCCAGGTTAATCTTATCTTCTGGCCAAGCCCTCAGGGCACCACACAACCTCTGCTAGAAGGAACTTAATTCTATTTCCTTAACACTGAGTTGCTTGCCTCAACTCTGCTAGCTCCCAACATGCCTTGGCCCAAAAGCAAGCATGCGCCGCCCTGCCCCAGGCGCACACCTGCGCAGTGAGTGCAAAGCATACCACCTGCTCCCCAGAAGGGAGGCCAGTAAAGAATGGGGGCGGGGATGGGGGAGAGGAAAGAATGTGGAGCATCCACGATGGAGAGGTGATTGAGAACTAGGCTCAAAAACCTTGTGGGAAGGTTTGTTCTGTTTGCCCATGGCTGCCCCTTAAGAAGGGTGGAGAGCATGGCTATGAGGGGTCTCTGCACGCTGGTCAAGTTCCGCAGCCAAAGGGAATTGGCCTCAGTTTCCTGGTCTGTAAAAACGGATTAAGCATGTCCCAGTGCCTTCACTGAGCTTAAATGGCCAATTGAGATTCTATATAAAGGAAATGAGGAAAGAAATGGGAAAGAAAAGGAAGGAGGAGCTACACAAAATAAATATTGGAAGGAACCTGTAAACCCATTGTCACGTAAATAGGGAATATAGTCAATAGTGCTGCAATGATGGTATGATGCCCAGTGGGTACTGGAAATATCAGGGAACACTTTGTAAAGTATATGATTGTCTAATCACTATTCTTAAACTAATATAAAATGTGAAACTAATACAAAATAATATAGGATGTAAACAAATGAAAATTGGAGTGAAAATTTTTTATAAATTTCAAAGTTTAAGTAAAGGCTGTAAAGGGAGGAAGGGGGAGAATAAAAAAAGTGTTTTTCATTTTACCACTTTATTGTCTTTTCGGTACATGAAAAAGACAGTTGTCTTTATATGGTGCTTTTATACTTTTCCAAGTCATTATCTCATTTGATGTTCAGGGCAACTTAAAGACAAAATAATTATTCTATCCACTATTTAAAGAAAGGAAATCTTGGTGTCTGGTCCCAATGATTCAACAGTCAAGCCCTTATTGTGAAATTTTCTGTGAAGGGTCATATAAAAGCCTTGGGGGTGATCGGGCCAGCAGTGGAGCAGTTAGGCACCAATCAGGCCAGCATGGGAGCGGTTAGAGGACAATCAGTCTGGCAGGCAGAAATGGTTTGGGCCAATCAGGCAGACAGGCAGGTGAGCTATTAGAAGCCAGCAGTCCTGGATTGTGAAAGGGATGTCTGACTGCCGGTTTAACTGGCAGACATCCACCAAGGGGTTCTAGATTAGAGAGGGTAGAGATCAGGCTGAGGGACACCCTCCACCCCTACCCCCTTGCATGAATTTCATGCACTGGGTGATATACCCAGTGCAATACACACACACACACACACACACACACACACACATATATATATATATATATATATATATATATGGAGAGAGAGAGAGAGCTGGCATTACAAAGTAATCATGGTCATACATATGTTTAGCCTTAAATGATATTGTCAAGCAAGATTCCAAAAGAAAAGTTGAAATTTACTTTGAAAAGTTGTCAATTTCTGTTAAAGTTGAACATAATCACTGTAACCTAGCAAATCTACACCTGGAATTCAAATATGCACCAGAAGAGAGGCACAAGAAACACTTCAAAGTAGCTAAAACTATGAAGAGTCCTCATTTCAATAGCCTTAAATGGGACAAATAAATAGTGGTATATTTATAATGGAATATTACATAGCTGTGAAAAATTCTACATACAAAAAAGCATGGGTGGATCTCACAAATATAATATTGAGTGAAAGAATTTAGTCACAAGATTACACACTTTGTAATTCCATTTATGTTATGCTCCAGAGCAGCAAACTAATCTGAGACGATACAAGGCAGAACCAGTACTGGTTGCCTTAGGGACAATGTTTAGCTTGTCGGTCCTGCATGGTGGTTAGCTTGAGCTGTACATTTAAGAAGTGTGCATTTTATGCCTGTTATATTTCAATAAAATATGAGTTTAATAATAATATCCCAGCTGTAGGAAATGAGAAAATAGGATCTAGGGAGAAAAAGTGGGGAGAGAATTCCTTTCATTTTCTTCATCCTTTAATCACCCATTCTGTTCTCTACATTCATTGTTTCAGCATCAGACACTTGCCAGCCTCCCACATCCTTAGAGGTTCACAAACTTCTGGCTGGGCCTCCCGCTGCTCAGAGGCTGGTATTGATGGATGGATTCAGGGATTGGATGGAGCCCATCCCCCCCGCCCCCCAAATCCCACACAATACAACAGGAACTGGGAAAACAAGCAGTGGGATGAGCAGAGGACCAGCCGCCACACGCTAGTTCCCAGAGATTCAGCCGCGGTTCGCTGGACAGCGCCAGGATGACTTCCTCCCCCCGCAAAGCGCGGGCAGGCAGGTACTTCCAGCCACCCCCCAGGGACACGTCTTTGTTCACCAAAGAGCCTTCCTCCAGGGGAGACTGAAGCAAAGACGCAAATTGCTTTGCCCTTTTTTTTTTTTTCCCTTTTTCTTTTTGAATTCGGAGCCCATGCGCCTCTTCCAGAAGTGAAGCGCGGGAGCGTGCGGACCGATTTCTCACTCGCCAGTCCCCTCCGGGACGCGCAGGGTGACGCGTGCCCCGCAGGCAGTAAACTTGTCCCGGAGGGAGATCCACTTCTCAGGGCACCTGGGTGCAGCCGGACGCCCCTGCGAGGAAGACCATGCCCCCCAAGTCCCTCTGCAACCTCTCCCAGCCCGCCGGCCTGAACCGGAGCGGCTTCTTCCCCGGGTTGTCGGACGGGGGTTTCCTGCCCGCCGCCCCCGCCGCCTCCGAGGAGGGGACGCCCGCCGCCACCGCCCAGCTGGTGATCCGCTGCGTGATCCCGTCCCTCTACCTGCTCCTCATCACGGTGGGCTTGCTGGGCAACATCGTGCTGGTGAAGGTCTTCGTCACCAACAGCGCCATGAGGAGCGCCCCCAACATCTTCATCTCCAACCTGGTGGCCGGGGACGTGCTGCTGCTGCTCACCTGCGTGCCCGTGGACGCCTCGCGCTACTTCTTCGACGAGTGGGTGTTCGGGAAGGTGGGCTGCAAACTGATCCCCGTCATCCAGCTCACCTCCGTGGGTGTGTCCGTGTTCACGCTCACCGCCCTCAGCGCCGACAGGTGAGGGGACAGGTATCAGCGGGGCGGCCTGAAAAGGGGTGGAGATGGGGTGAGGAGTGCACCTGGGAGGGAGAGGGGGCGGAAAGAAAAGGCTAGGAGGAGGAGAAGGACAGTGAGTATCTGGGAATGAGAGCAAAAGAGGTAGATGTGAAGCCTGAAACAATATGAAAAGGATTACTTTTAAAAGGAACTAAAATTGCATTAGTTTGAAAGTAGTTTTAAAATTGCATATCCTTACTCTTCCCCTTCCCTTCCACACACTTGGGCAGCTTTTATTCCATTTCAAAGAACAGCTATAGAATGCATGGGCAATAGAATAGCTACCTTAAAAAAATTTTTTTTTAATTTAAACCTTACAAGTTCTTCAGCAACTAGTGATTATTTATTAAAAATATAGTTTTGTTGGTTTTTAGAGAAAGAGGAACGGAGAGGGATAGAGAGATAGAAACACCAGTGGACTGCCTCATGCATGCCCCCCACTGGGGACCTTGCTGAAACCCAATCCTGGACATGTGCCCTGATCAGGAATCAAACCAGGTTCCTCTTGGTTCTCGGGCCCATGCTCAACCACTGAGCCACACTGGCCGGGCCAATGTAGCTATCTTGTTTAGGTTTTCTCTGTGTGCTTAAGAACTTTAGATGTGCAGTTTTCTTATCTGGTAGCCTAATCACCTGATTCATGAGCCTGTCTTCCTTAATATTAGTAAAAATACTTGATTTTTACTTTTTTTTTTCCAAATAAGGAGAAACATCATTTACAGTTAACAACTAAATTATACTATTGTACTTGAAGCACAAACAACTAGAATAGTAACTATTCTTCTGACAGATGACTTTACACATTTTGTTTGTTTTAATACCTCAAGTCAAATGATCCGTTATTTGTTTTCTCACAAACAGGCAGGGACCAAATTCTTGTATTTTAAAACACTATTGTAAAAATACATCTTTGGTTTTGAGTCTGCTTTTCACATATTTTAAGGGTGGGAAGTGTCCATTACTCTATCTTGCAGATCAACTAGTCCAACGGGGCCATTTCCAGGTAAGGATGTTGAGGCTCAAGGAATGTAAGTTCCTGGGCAGAGCTGGGAGGAGAACCCAGGCCTGCTGAACCTGGGCCCAGTGCTGCTGCTGCAGGTTCTCTATGACCATGCTTTTGGGCATTTACACAGGAGAGATGAACTGGATGGGAGTAGGGACAAAATTGGGCATGTCCAAATTTGGAGTTGGGCATTTGTGCATGAAGTTATGTCTAATTCTCTTGGGAATGGGGTGTTGACGTCAACTGTTGAACTCTGATGATTAAGGTGGTGCTCATCCTCCTTCTCTTTAATTTACATTTTGGGCTACAAATGAAAAATAAATGCATCTAAATTTTCTTGTATTTGCAGTAATACCCTTACATCACCCTTAGATTACTTTTAGGAGTTAATTTTAATGAAAGGAAGAAAATATTCAGTGGCGATTTGAGAGCTATTGTCTTTTTTAAACTGAATACTTTTTGGTTGGCTTTTTGGTTTGTGTAATATTTTCACTAAAGCCACATTTCTATGAAGATATGTGCCTTTGGATAAATTATCCACCTCATTTTGATTGATGCGATTTCTATTATCTTTTTTTTTGGAAAGTTTTCTTTGGGTTCCATAATTAAAATATGACTTTTTATTTTAACTGCCCTTCTTTAGGGAACCCATTTTAAACAGAAAGTTTGAAAAATACTAGGTAAGGACTGAGATAAAACGTTATAGTTATTACTACAACAGTTAAAATTATGATCATTATGCTTTCATTTTGAAAGGTAATATTAGGAACAAGAACCAGGGCTTAAATTTATTTCACACCATTTTTCTCTCTTGTCATGGAGACACACAGATAAATTGGCTCTGACAAAGGTCAGAGAAAATGCTGTTCCTCACACATTTACTGACTGTTTCAGTGTGTTATGTGAATCATGTACTCTGTAAATAAAGCATGGATCCTTTAGTAATAATGATAAAGAAAAGTGGGTTGTCTCTTCTCCTTGGTCCAGAAGCTATTCTTGCCTATCAGTGTGAGTTTTAAATATAAATTGAGGAACAGAAGTCACTGGTGGTGAAATCACACAATACGTTCTAAAAGCCATGTGAATGGCTTGGGAATGTTTTGTTTTATATTGTGTATACCTCTGTTCTTCCAGAACATAGTAATCTAGGTGTTGATTTGGACCTGATCTCCTCATACTTTCTCTCTCCAAATATTTTAGTTTCTTGTGGATTTGGAAGCAAGAATAAGACAAATTGCACACAGCACTGTGCTAAGTGTTTTTTGTGTGAATTCATTATCCTCACAATACCATGAAGAAGGCACGATCATCATTACCATTTTAAAGTAAGGAAAATGAAGACTTGAAATTAAGCAACATTTTCCTGATCTCACAGTGGAGCCAGGATTTGAAAACAGATCAAAGCCTGCAGTCTTCACTATTAAGCACATGATCACATTTTCAGGAATAAAAAATTACTATTTTTTTTTCCTATTTAGTGACAGACTGAAAAATTACATTTAAATCATAGCACCAAGATTTTAAAAAATTGCAAAAGCTTAGTCATTAGATTCAATAGAATGGAAAAAAAATGTAATACATGTAACTTCCAAGTATAAAAACACACCCTGAATTCAAAATTAAGTTGTAATTGTAGCAATAGAACCACTTAAAAAAAAAGCCGTTATTAGAGTTTTTAAACAATAAATTCAATTGTTTGTTAAACCAAACTAAATATTTTATCCTCATGAGATGGCTTAAATAAAGATAGAAAAAGAAACAGGCAGATAATTAGACTTTAGCAAGCATATGCCAATGTGAAGTAGAAAGTTAATTATATGTCATTGATGACAGTACCACCAAATAGCAGAGACTGAAATAAAAATAAATATTTATAAATCTACCTTGAGGCCTAAATCACCTTGTTTGATGTGGGTGGTATGGATAACACTGTGTGGTAGTTCTGGTTATTAACCTTTGACTTTCCAAATTCTTTTGAGAAGTTTTACCTGATTCATCCTTAAGAAAAATCATTGTGCCCACTGGGACTGTACCTCAGAGACATTGCATAACCAGAATGGGAGGAAAGGCTGTGCATAAACTGAAATGGTGACAGTGGTGTTGCCAGTTTACATTTTTGTTAGTATATAAAAAATATACTTCTTTTGCTTGCTCGCATTAAATAGCTAATTAAAAGTATTTGCATATTCTTCATTGAATCATTTTTACCAGTTCTACACACACACACACACACACTCACTTTCTCCTCTCTCCCACTGTTGAGACTTACGTGCTATGATACTAGGTAGGAGGAATCCCATAAGCCACAAAGAAATCTTCACGACCTATTGCACTAACTGTATTCCAAACTCAGATATTCTTTCTTGAACTCTTAAAGACATTTTGGCCCCCCAAATCCCATATTTAAAATGGTAGTCATGCCGAAGTCGTTTTGGCTCAGTGGTAGAGCGTCGGTCTGCGGACTGAAGGGTTCCAGTTTCGATTCTGGTCAAGGGCATGTACATTGGTTGCGGGCACATCCCTGGTAGGGGGTGTGCAAGAGGCAGCTGGTCGATGTTTCTCTCTCATCGACGTTTCTAGCTCTCTATCTCTCTCCCTTCCTCTCTGTAAAATATCAATAAGATATATTTAAAATGGTAGTCATTTTTTAGAATGAGTTCTCCTTTTTCTTTTACAGCAAAAATAAATAAATAAAATAATAATAATTCCCATGGACTCCTACTGCTAAAGTATGAACTTCATTATTTTGTGTACTTACAAATGCAAAACTAGAAATAAATTTCTTATGCTGTTTTTTTAAAAAATTATATAAATGTTAACTAAAATGCATTTATAAATTTAATTCTAAAATTCTATAAGACAATAAAATTTAATATATCAGTTTATGTTGTTTTTCTGATACTCTATAGCCAATGTTGGATTGAATACAAAAATAATATTGCATCTAATCAGACTAAAATGATAATGTATTAATTATTTCAAGTCTTTATTTGATAGTTAGAATAAACATATTTAATTCCATAACTGAACTCGTGCTTTTAGGTATGAACCTTGAATCATTAACATTATTTACATGTTATATCAATGCAAACATATATTTCCTTTACTATAATTACTTGTTAAAATACTGAAACAGATAAAACATGGGCCCTATGTCTAACACTCCCGAGGCCTTAGGAAGCTTTTTTTTATCAGTCTTTGTCCAGTGGTGAGAATGCCATTATCTGCTGGTTTCTCACCAAAGCTTCTTACAGGAGCTCAGGTATTGACTGAATAGCTGGATTTTTTTTTTTTTTTTTTTTTTTTTTTGGTCCGTAGCCTGGGGCAGTGTGCTGAGGTTGGCTCTCAGAGTGTGCTTTTAAAGCTCTTTTGAGGAGTTTGGGCTGGCCATGCATACCTAAAGCAGTAATCCACACTCACCCTAGCAATAACCACGTTTCCAGAGTGATTGTTATCAGAGAAAAAAGTGCCTGTCTTCTCCCATTGCTAGTGGGAGCTGGGTTCTTGGAGTGCCACCATAAGAAGCATTTCCAGAGCCCCCGGGGGAGAATGAGATGTGGTAGAAAGTTTTATTTTCCTGGAATATATCTCATTTCCCTTAGTCCATTTCATAGATGTATAGCGAGGGTTTCGGTAAAGCTAATAGCAAAATTGTTGTTTCCTTTCCATATTGGAGCGGGGTCCATACGCAATGCAAGGGAGTAGGAGCAAAAGAGCCCCACAAGCCAGCAGTCAAGTGCAACACACCAAGGGGGACTGAGAAAGCGAACTCCTTTGTGTGGGAGTTCTGTGGGAGTCCAAATCTTCATGGACTTGCAGTGGCCATGCCCATCTGGCCAATGACCTCTGCTTCCAGGTGTGACTGACAGATCTCAGCTTCCTTAGTCATCCAAACTTTACTGGACAGGCAGCTATCTTTCCTTTATCCAGTCTCTGCCTCTTCCCTCAGTGTTTTGCA